AGTGTAACAATGAATTGATAAGTGTTATAATGTATTAACTGTGGTTACAATTATTCATGAGATTGTTCAAAGCATTATAAGACAAAACTACTTTTATAATGCATTACACAAGGCTTTAAGTAAAAAAAAATTCATATATATTATGCCTAATCATTTTTATCTCAAAATGTTATTAATACATTATAAAGAGTTGTTAAAGGTGTAACATTATTCATAATGTGCATTGTAATACATTACATCTTGACGTAAATGATAATAATAACCGAATTTAAAATGCATAGTGTAACAATGAATTGATAAGTGTTATAATGTATTAACTGTGGTTACAATTATTCATGAGATTGTTCAAAGCATTATAAGACAAAACTACTTTTATAATGCATTACACATAAGGCTTTAAGTAAAAAAAAATTCATATATATTATGCCTAATCATTTTTATCTCAAAATGTTAAAGCTTTATTCATGTAAGATTACAACTTAATATTTTTGAGAAAAAGCAGCAGTGCATCTAGCAGTGTTTTATTATGTCTGTTATATTACAACCTTATTGCTGTCATTTTATGATTTTATTATTAAAACACTACCATATAACCTTCTTTTCTTTCATATTAAGTCTCAATACTACAAATGTATTCTTCTTGGAATAGCTTTTTTTAATTATTATTCTTGCAGCACAGCTTTATTCTCATAAAATACTGCTTTATTGATAAAATTTTATTCTCGAAACTCCTTTGAGGATTTTTTCCTCAAAATATTACAACTTTTTCCGTGCCTTTATATTCATAAAACACTAAAAATAAAAACGGTATTGCAATATTATTTTTTCTCATATTACAACTCCATTTTCATAAAACTGCAGTAAAATGTTACTTAGTTTTTCCATTTGTAAGGCTTAAATTAAGACATAATTCTTGTAATTTTAGAATTTTATTTTTATTAAATCACTGTCTGCAATGTGTAATTTATATAATATTCAACTTCTTTATTCTCATATTTATTCGCACTGCCGTAAAACATAATTCTTGCATTATTACTGCTTCATTCTCATAAAACATTGCCATGCAGAAGATTTTTTCCACAGAATATATTACGGCTTTTTTTGAAATCCATCTCAAATCTTTGTAAACAGCAGACCAGTTGGAACATAATGAATAAATCTCCTTTCTCTCACCTCTTCAGGTTCATTATCAGAGTCTCCATCTCCATTTTCTCTTCGCTCTTGGTTTTCCCTGCTCAGCCCATTCTCGCTCTTTTCTCCATTTTCCTGAGGATAAAGCTTGGCCCTCTTCTTCAAACCTTTTTCTTTCTCCGGACTGAAGAAAAAAAATGGTGATCTATTATTAAAGTTCCTATAGACAAATACATGCATAAACAAAGCACTGATGTAATCAATAGGACATTGATCACACAGTAGTTTGAACACTAAAAAATAAGGGATCGGGCCATAATTCCGACAATTCCACCAATATCGGACGCAAACGTCATTTAATAGTCATGTAATTGCACCACGGGGACAGAGATTTATCCTGGGTCTTCTGCTTTTTAGCCTTTGCAGGTCAGCTGAGACTTCCAGTAGTAATTCTGTAGTGTTGGCTTCACAAATTACCCATGCTCTCTCTCCCATTACGGCCACATTAGAGCCAATCTGAGAGCGGGACGTTCCTGTAGTCATATTCATTATAACAGACGATTTACTGAGAGATACTTGTGTCTGTGCCAGCTTGCTGTCCTTAGTTTGAGTCGGTCAGGACATACTGGCACAAACACAGAGATAAATCTAATTCTGGCACATTTTACAGCCTCTTATTGGCTCAGCAACATAAAACAGAAGAGGACAAGCATATTAAAGTCTTCCAAATACACAATCAGAGGAATAAGTTACAAGACCTCTGCTACCATCAGAAGAGATTGCCAGACATAGACATGAAGAGTCAAGACCACCTGAGACGTCCTGGAGCAGGGTCTCTTATTTAATAGCATTAATTCATTCATATATGCTGTGGATATTGTAGTCTGACAATATCACTTCATTTTAGATGTGACCCTAAAATGTTCACAAATACATTTTCATACGTGAAAATCTTTTCAGACCTATCTTCCGTGGAGTATGTGTAATTATCATGGTATAATTTCCCTCAACATGAAAATGAAATGAAATTAATATTTGTAAAATTGTTTTTCAAAGACATTTAAGCAGAATAAATATATAAATAATAAAAAATAAAATAAAAAATTTAATTAAAAAAATAAAAAAATTTTATAAACATAAGAGAATACAAAATTAATTAATAATTTGTAAAGAATACATAAAAGAATAAGCAAGTAAATAAAATAATAAATAATCAGTAAAAGAATAAATAAAAATAAAATAAAAAAATTAATTAAAAAATTAAAAAAAATTATAAACATAAGAGAATACAAAATTAATTAATAATTTGTAAAGAATACATAAAAGAATAAGCAAGTAAATAAAATAATAAATAATCAGTAAAAGAATAAATAAAAATAAAATAAAAATGAATAAATACATAAATGCATACAAGAATACAAGTATTGCATACAACAAGGAAATAAATAAAAAAAAATAATTAATAATTTGTAAAGAATACATAAAAGAATAAAAGCATAAAATAATATGAAACAATATAATAATATAATATAAAAAGAATAAATTAATAATACAAAAACCATCTCAAATCTTTGTAAACAGCAGACCAGTTGGAACATAATGAATAAATCTCCTTTCTCTCACCTCTTCAGGTTCATTATCAGAGTCTCCATCTCCATTTTCTCTTCGCTCTTGGTTTTCCCTGCTCAGCCCATTCTCGCTCTTTTCTCCATTTTCCTGAGGATAAAGCTTGGCCCTCTTCTTCAAACCTTTTTCTTTCTCCGGACTGAAGAAAAAAAATGGTGATCTATTATTAAAGTTCCTATAGACAAATACATGCATAAACAAAGCACTGATGTAATCAATAGGACATTGATCACACAGTAGTTTGAACACTAAAAAATAAGGGATCGGGCCATAATTCCGACAATTCCACCAATATCGGACGCAAACGTCATTTAATAGTCATGTAATTGCACCACGGGGACAGAGATTTATCCTGGGTCTTCTGCTTTTTAGCCTTTGCAGGTCAGCTGAGACTTCCAGTAGTAATTCTGTAGTGTTGGCTTCACAAATTACCCATGCTCTCTCTCCCATTACGGCCACATTAGAGCCAATCTGAGAGCGGGACGTTCCTGTAGTCATATTCATTATAACAGACGATTTACTGAGAGATACTTGTGTCTGTGCCAGCTTGCTGTCCTTAGTTTGAGTCGGTCAGGACATACTGGCACAAACACAGAGATAAATCTAATTCTGGCACATTTTACAGCCTCTTATTGGCTCAGCAACATAAAACAGAAGAGGACAAGCATATTAAAGTCTTCCAAATACACAATCAGAGGAATAAGTTACAAGACCTCTGCTACCATCAGAAGAGATTGCCAGACATAGACATGAAGTGTCAAGACCACCTGAGACGTCCTGGAGCAGGGTCTCTTATTTAATAGCATTAATTCATTCATATATGCTGTGGATATTGTAGTCTGACAATATCACTTCATTTTAGATGTGACCCTAAAATGTTCACAAATACATTTTCATACGTGAAAATCTTTTCAGACCTATCTTCCGTGGAGTATGTGTAATTATCATGGTATAATTTCCCTCAACATGAAAATGAAATGAAATTAATATTTGTAAAATTGTTTTTCAAAGACATTTAAGCAGAATAAATATATAAATAATAAAAAATAAAATAAAAAATTTAATTAAAAAATTAAAAAAAATTATAAACATAAGAGAATACAAAATTAATTAATAATTTGTAAAGAATACATAAAAGAATAAAAGCATAAAATAATATGAAACAATATAATAATATAATATAAAAAGAATAAATTAATAATACAAAAAATACATAAAAGAATAAGCAAGTAAATAAAATAATAAATAATCAGTAAAAGAATAAATAAAAATAAAATAAAAATGAATAAATACATAAATGCATACAAGAATACAAGTATTGCATACAACAAGGAAATAAATAAAAAAAAATAATTAATAATTTGTAAAGAATACATAAAAGAATAAAAGCATAAAATAATATGAAACAATATAATAATATAATATAAAAAGAATAAATTAATAATACAAAAAATACATAAAAGAATAAGCAAGTAAATAAAATAATAAATAATCAGTAAAAGAATAAAAATAAAATAAAAATGAATAAATACATAAATGCATACAAGAATACAAGTATTGTATACAACAAGGAAATAAATAAAAAGGAAAAAAAAAAATCAAAAAAAAAAATTTAAAAAACAATAAACGAATAAGCACATAAATGCGTAAAAGAATAAAGTTCAGAAAGAAAGAAAGAATCAATAAAAAGAATAAATAAATCAAAGAATAAAATAAATAAAAACAAACACTTGCTCCTCAGACCACACCTCTTCCTCCTCTGATTTCTCTCTTTCTTCTTCAGCCTCTCCACGTCTAATTTGGCTTGACAAATCACATCGGACATCTCTGCATCCATGGAAACAGAGGGGGAGGAGCCGAGAGCGAGTGCTGGAGTAGACGGGTGTGGAGAGCGGGCGGAGAGGCGAGACAAACTGCGCCTCAGAGACTCGTTCATGGCCTCACTCTCCAGCAGCTTAGACCTGAGAACCAGAGACATACGAGTCATTGTTTTATACTGCTCTGATGAGAAATTCACATCCAAACGTGTCACGAGCAGAATATCATGTTACCTCAGCTCTTCGATTTCTCGAATGTAGTTCTGGATTAGATTGCCAATCTCCTCGTTCGTTTCACCTGTTCAAAGTGTGACAGATTTATTTAGCAATAATGAAATGACAAGTACTGATGTTTGTTTGTTCATTTTTTAACACCACACCAGCTTTCTTGGCTATTTTCATGACAAAAACTATATTCGAGTAATTAAAATTTGAAATTGCAACCAAATAAGATAATTTTTTTAAAAACCTTTTCAAGGGTATCAACAGAATAAAACAACTTTCCAAGAGAAGTAGAAACATTAAAATCCCAAGAAATAATAAAATAACAAATAAAGACCTTCAGTGGCCAACTAAACTAGTGAAGACACGCTGGTTACACACAGGTTAACTAATACACTGTGCTAGTTTCAGATTTTGCTACTGCTAACTACTAAAGCTAGCTCATTTAGCGTAAAAAAAAAAAAACCACATATTTTTGTTTTGTTTTTATACTAATATAACAGATATATTTACCAACATAATTTTATATGATTACTTCTAACATATAATAATAATAATAATATACAATTACTTCTGCGGTGCATTCATTACCATAATTATTGACTTTTAAAAAGCCTGCATCTAATACAGTAGATCTCATAGTTTCAAATTCCTGACATCTGCAACCTCATGTTGAAAAAACTCAAATGCAGCGATTTCAGCAGTAAAATTAAGTTTGGCACTGTTTTATATTTAAGACAATTCTCTATTTTTAATGTCTCAAAAGAATGCAAGAATAAGTTGAATAACTTATGAATAATATCTAATATCCCACTAAATAAACTATTAAGTTGAGACATTTGCAGTACTTGTCTACTGATTATTTACAGTAAATCACACAGAATTGTTTTGCTGTTAATAGTGTTGCACAGAAATGCATAATTCCTATGCAGCATAAGTCCGAGACACCGCTGGGATACCAAGATAGCGTATTTTAGGAGCAGACGCAAAACTGGCACAGCCTTTGGAAAACTTATTGGTCAAATAAAAAATGCATTAGAAGTATTTAAATATACATGTTGCATTTATATCAACAACAAAATTACACTGATCATATCATATATATATATATATATATATATAAAATTAAACTGATTATGGGTGAATATCACCCAGTCCTACTATTAGGGGCCTATGATTTCTGTGATGCCGTAAACGCGGACAGAATCACAGAATTCAGTTATAAAAACATTTACTGTATAATGCAGAATGTCGCTGAATTTGTCAAAATTTGGATGAATTTATCAAAAGTAGGTCATTACACTTAAATCAAATTGCGATATGGACTAGTATCTGTAATTATTAATCGGCAAAAATACGATTTAAATGTGAATCCTGCATGTTCTGCGTGTCTCTGTTTAATTTGAGTAAAACAAGTGTCCTATCATATACACACACAGAAATTAAAAGGTATTCACGGCAACCCGTCAAATTTAAAGTTTGGTTTAACTTGAAGACATTGTGCCAGAAAAATATTACTATTTTTCAGAAGAATGTACATAATACTACTTCTACTACTACTACTAAAATTATTAAAACATTATTTTTAAGGAATAATCATGTAACATTTCTTCCATGTTTTAAAAATGGTTGTTTTGCCAGAAATAAAGTTTGTTAAATTTTCAATAAAAGATAAATGAAATTAATGTTTTATGCCTTCATTTGAGAACCAGAACAATGTAAATACACAACACAGAATTTGTGTGTTAAGAAAAAATACACAAATTCTGATTTTCAGAAGGGAAAAAAAAAAACATTTCATTAGGCTATTAAATGAATGAATTTTAATAAATTAAGTTGTTTTTATGCATTCAAATACTTAGACATGTTAAAACAGAATTTGTTAACAATAAAGCATATGGTGAGAAAAAAATGGGATGTGAAATAGTAAAAGTTTCATGATTTTACATGCTTTTTGCTTAGTCAAATTTAATTTAGGCTAACCATTATAAAAGGAGTCCAGAAAAATTTAAAAAAAAAAAAAAAAAAAAACGGAATTTGGAAAAAAAATAAAACGGATTTCAAAAGGCCCTGTACTATCTACACACAATTCAGTGGTAATCCCCTCTCCAACCACTAGAGGTCTCTCACCAGTCTTAGTGAGCAGCAGGTTGACTCCATTGGTGAGCAGCTGGGTGACTCGAGTGTTCAGGTGGTCGATGGTTTCCTGCATGGCTTTGACCCGCATACGTAGTGTGTCATTCTCTTTTTGGAGCATGGAGTTCTCTTGAAACAGATCACTAAAACCGTCGGATCCATCTTCGCAGGCCACTCGTTTTCCCTGAAAGAAATCCAAAGACTGTGAGACGGATAGGTAGGCACTGACCCCATCCAACCCAAGCAACAATCCCCCAATCCTTTCATGCTCGGTCTCTCTGTCAGGGCGGCTCAACTCTCTCAAAGCCATCACAGCTAATCGCTGACTTCTTCCGGCGGCCGTTTATCATCCAGGTCAGGCCGAGACGCTAAGCTGCTGCTACGCTCCATTAACTCCAGCGAGATCACAGACCGAACAGAGGCTAACTAGCGACACAATGAGAGACGGCGTTGGTGGAGTCAGATTACCTCACGTCTCATTCACCGGTGAGAAAACACTACAGTACGAAGCGCATAATATTACAATAATAATGCCTTCCATTCCCACTCAGTCTGCAATAGCGCAATGAACGCGCTGATGATGTATCATTTCTGTGCGAACAGGGTGTGCGGAGGTATGCAAATACATACGTTTACAGGCAGGAAGGACAGCCTATCGTAGTCATCGGACCGCGGAATATGATTGGACGAACATTTTATGATCCTACACCTTCCACAGATGATATAAATGCATATAAATACATTTAGACCACTTACCTTAGTCACGAGATGTGAAGAGACTTTCAACCAGCATAACAAAAAATGTTTTGAACCAAATCATCTACCCTGCCTTTAAGAGGTGTTTGAGTAATTTTACAAAAATGTGCGAAAGAGATCATAAGAATTCGCAACCAATTCATAATGATGTTTTACGTACAAATAAGATTATATGTATCGTAATTATATCATTATATTATATCGTAAGATTATATGAATTTCAACAATTTAAGGGTAAAAAGTCACCATTAAGGTCCAACCCTAACCCGTCCCTCAAGAGGTGTGCAAATGGATCATACAAAATCATACAAAAAAAGGTGCTGACGTTTTCGTGATTAATTTGACAAATTAATTTCGTAAATTTTACCTACAAACCGAATGTCTGTGAATATGATCCTATGAACTCATATAATTTGTAGAAAAAACGTCACCATGAAGGCCCACCCCTGAACCTAACCCTCAAAAGTTGTGAGTAGATCGTATAAAATGTGCGAAAGAGACCATATGAATTTGTATGATTTATAGGTAAAAAGTCACCATGAAGGTCCGAACCTAACCCCATCCCTCAAAATGTGTAGGATAAAATATCACCATGAAGGTCAACCCATAACCCTACCCCTAAAACTAAACTCAAGAAGTGTGTGAGAGTGTGCGAGTAAATGTGCAAAAGAGAAGCTACGAATTCGCAACCAATTCATTGTGACGTTTTACGTACAAATCATACATGTTTGTGTAGAATCATATGCATTTGTATGATTGATAGGTTACAAGTCACCATGAAGGTGAGACCATTCCTCACGAGATGTGCGAGCAGATTGTCCAAAAAGAGATTGTACTAATTCATACAAATTTATACAAACCTACCGAATTCATTCGAATTTGTACAATTTGAAGATAAAACATCATCAACTAAACCTAACCATCAAGCTAATGTGTAACAAATTCTTACAAATATTTATAAAGATGCTTTAAAAATTGTCAAGAGATTGTGTTGGTGGAGGGCGAGATTTTTAGCGAATAATTACTTTTTTCGGGCTGTTTCGGAAACTTGGCTTCAGAACACTTGGAATTTAGTGCACAAGTAGTATGGAATACTTGTGTACTTTTTTTTTTTTTGTAATATTAGGAGCTCGACAGCCCAGTCACCCATTCACTTTCATTTTTTTTAAATGAACAGCCAGGATATTCTACCAATCATCTCTCTTTTTTCCACAAAAGTACTTTTTTTTTTTATATGGGGGCCATAGGAAAAGACGCCTGCTGGAGACTAACTCTTCCCAGAATGCCACGACCCTCCAGGTCCTTCTCCTTACCGCTTTGTACTCCATGATCTCCATCTGTAGGCGTGCGATCTCTGCTCGTAATGCGCTGATCTGCTGGCTGGTTTTATCCTGGTTCACCATCACTTTGTGCAACCAATTCATTGTGACGTTTTACGTACAAATCATACATGTTTGTGTAGAATCATATGCATCTGTATGATTGATAGGTTACAAGTCACCATGAAGGTGAGACCATTCCTCACGAGATGTGCGAGCAGATTGTCCAAAAAGAGATTGTACTAATTCATACAAATTTATACAAACCTACCGAATTCATTCGAATTTGTACAATTTGAAGATAAAACATCATCAACTAAACCTAACCATCAAGCTAATGTGTAACAAATTCTTACAAATATTTATAAAGATGCTTTAAAAATTGTCAAGAGATTGTGTTGGTGGAGGGCGAGATTTTTAGCGAATAATTACTTTTTTCGGGCTGTTTCGGAAACTTGGCTTCAGAACACTTGGAATTTAGTGCACAAGTAGTATGGAATACTTGTGTACTTTTTTTTTTTTTGTAATATTAGGAGCTCGACAGCCCAGTCACCCATTCACTTTCATTTTTTTTAAATGAACAGCCAGGATATTCTACCAATCATCTCTCTTTTTTCCACAAAAGTACTTTTTTTTTTTATATGGGGGCCATAGGAAAAGACGCCTGCTGGAGACTAACTCTTCCCAGAATGCCACGACCCTCCAGGTCCTTCTCCTTACCGCTTTGTACTCCATGATCTCCATCTGTAGGCGTGCGATCTCTGCTCGTAATGCGCTGATCTGCTGGCTGGTTTTATCCTGGTTCACGATCACTTTGTTCTTGATGTTGCGAGCCCGATTGGCGTACTTCAGTGTGTTCAGGGTCTCCATGAAGTCACGGTCAGAGGGGCTCACGCAGGCAATCATCACGGTCCGACTAAACAGATACAAAGCAGATGAATTCATAAGGGTCTTTCACAAACACACACACACACACAAGGCAGAAAGATAAAACACAAACAGATGACAGATAAACACAAACACGCTTTCATGGACTGCACACGCTGCCCGCATATTTTTGTGTATTCGCATACACAAAATTGAATTGGGATTGAATGTCTTTAAGGAGCGCCTCTGTCTGCAGTCCCTCATGTTTAATTTAATCAACTCCCCCTCTGAACCCACATCATAAGAATATATGGGCAGCCTGTGCCGTCCACTGTGGGCTGAGTGACCCAGCACTGTGCCTCCATGCAGATTGATGCAGTGCACTGTTAGCATGCATTAACCTTCAAGGCACAATGACTGCACTGTGCACAGTGACGTTTACAAGTGTGTGAACTTGCATGAATAATCTGAGACCTCTAAAACAAAGGATAAAGACAAACAAAGTCTCAACAATGACAAAAGATAAAGCTTTCTAGATATAGTGTCATACAGGGAACTAAATCATTAGGGCTGTCAATGTAATGTTAATTTACTGAAACTGATGAATTGAAAATACATATTAAAATGGAAAAAAGTATATAAAAAAATAAATATATCAATAAAATATTTAAAGATCTTAAGTAATCATGCCCCCTGTACTTGTATGTACATTATGAATTAATTAGGGCTGTCAATTTAATGTTAAATTTCCGAGATTAATTATTTAAAAATACAAATATTTTTTAAATTATAAAATAAATAAATATCTAAAATAAATTATTTTAAAACAATCCCAATTAATTATACCCCCTGACTTATATGTACATTCTGAAATAATTAGGGCTATTAATGTTAATTTTCTGAGATTAATTATTTAAAAATACAAATGAATAATATATTATAATTATAATTATAATAAATAAATAAATGTAAATAAAATCACAATTAATCATGTCCCCTGACTTGTAAATTCCGAATTGTGTCTGTTTAATGTTTACTGAGATTAATTATTATAAAATCATTTTTAAAAATAAAGATATAAAATAAAATCTTTTTTTAAATGATCTTAATTAATCATGCCCCTTTCTTGTTTAAATTCTGCAGTACGTCATAAAATATTCCATTATTTCATGTAAATAAGCATAAGCGTAACAAATAAATAAAGGATCCACAATAAAGGATGCATATCACTTTGTCCCACGAGCAGCTTTGGGGCTCTCTGATCACTGTTTGGTTCATCTTATACCGACCTACAGGTAGAAACTGAAATCAGCTAAACCTGTATTAAGGACTGTAAAAAGATGGACTAATGAAGCAGAGCAGGATTTACAAGCTTGTTTTGACCTCACTGATTGGAGCATCTTTGAAGCTGCAGCCACCGATCTGGACGAGCTCACAGAGACTGTAACTTCATATATCAGTTTCTGTGAAGATATGTGCATTCCTACCAGGACATTCTTATCATTTAATAATGATAAACCGCGGTTTACTAGGAAACTCAAAGAGCTTCGTCACGGCAAAGAGGATGCTTACAGAAGTGGGGATAAAATCTTGTATAACCAGGCCAGGAACAGACTAACAAAGGAGATCAGAGTGGCTAAAAAAACTACTCAGAAAAGCTGAGAAAAGAGCTTTCAGCAAACGATCCAGCGTCAGTATGGACTGGTCTGAGGAACATCACCATGTACAAGACATCACCCCCACAGTCTGTGGAGAATCAACAACTGGCTGACAATCTGAATGTGTTTAACTGCAGATTTGAAAAGGATAGTCTACCACCCCCCATCCGCTCTGATCTGCACTTCACACATTCACCTACCACCCCCTGCAACCCCCCTCCCTCACCATTCAACCTGCGCTTGTAGAGGATGTAGAGGATGTGAACCGGGTCTTCAGGAAGCAGAAATCTAAGAAAGTTTCAGGCCCAGACGCTGCCGGTTTTGCCTGTTTAAAAGTCTGCGCTGACCAACTGGCCCCCATCTTCACACAGATCTTCAACAGATCATTGGAGCTGTGTGAAGTTCCCTGCTGCTTCAAACGCTCCACCATCATTCCGGTCCCCAAAAAGCCCAAAATCACTGGACTCAACGACTACAGACCTGTCGCTCTCAC